TCAAAGGATCTTAGGTTTGACTAAGTTTATGGAACATATTATCTATATTTAGATTTCCAGTTAGATTTATTATGAAGATACATCGCATGATTAATCTAATGGTACTTATTACCATCATAAACATCAATACTTTCTTAAACAAATTTGGTCAAAATTATGAATCTTTTGTCAAGCCAAAATAACTTTGGCAATTTGCTTTTTTTTTTAGCAAAACTTTGGCAATTTGGTATGCACAAATTTTGGCAGGACTTTTGTGGGTCATAAACCAAACAGGGCCCTGCTACCGAGTTGGACTAGTTGGCCCATTTGGCACCTAGAGTTTGCGGGGAGTCCTATATATATCGGGGGGGGGGCTCCCCATCAGCCTCTTCTCCTCGGTCTAATCTAAGGCAGTCGTCGCCGCCGCCGCCGCAACCGCCGGAGGTTAGGAGGGCGATGGAGAGCGGGGGTTTGAAGAGGGCGATGGAGAGCGGGGGTGAGAGGAGGGCGACGGAGAGCGGGGTTTGAAGAGGGCGAGCGGGGGTTTGAAGAGGGCGACGGAGAGCGGGGGTTTGAAGAGGGCGAGCGGGGGGTTTGAAGAGGGCGAGCGGGGGTTTGAAGAGGGCGATGGAGAGCGGGGGTGAGAGGAGGGCGACGGAGAGCGGGGGTTTGAAGAGGGCGATGGAGAACGGGGGTGAGAGGAGGGCGACGGAGAACGGGGGAGGGAGGATGCGGAGGTTCCCCCCCACGGAGTGGGTCATGTGTTCCACGTGCTCCGGGTTTGTGTTCAGGAAGAGGCGCACATCCGAGGTGGTGGAGGTGGTGAAGGAAGCCGAGAAGATGCGGGACTTGATGAAGGCGGTGCTGCGGCACGGGCCCCTCCAGGAGATAGAGCCGGCTGAGGCGACGAAGAAGCAGTGGCAGGACCTGCAGACGAGGAGGAGGATTATGATGGAGACCAAGAGGTGCCCGACTTGCTCCGGTTCGCTGTTAGAGGTGTGCCCGACTTGCTGCCATTCGCTGTTACAGAAGCCCGGGCCCGATGAGGAAGACAAGGCGATGGTAGCTGACCCCGGATCGAAGGCCGGATTGAAGGAGAAGAAGAAGAGATCGAGGGAGGAGGGCAGCGTTGACCCCGGATCGAAGGCTGGATTGAAGGAGAAGAAGAAGAGATCGAGGGAGGAGGGCAGCGAGTTGATGGCTGTCCTTCCGTCGCAGGGCGGGAATCAGAGGAAGAAGATTGCGACGGAGGACGAGGCGATGGTGGCAGACGCCAGATCGGAGCAGAAGTCGAAGCGATCGAGGGAGGAGGGCAAGACATCTAGCAGCGGATTGAAGGAGAGGAAGAAGGCGAAGAGTGAGGATGAGGAGGGCAGCGGATCAAAGAAGAAGAAGGCTAAGAGATCGTGCGAGGTATTTCTTTTATTTTCAGAATAGCTTTCTTTTGAATCCATTTTCAAGTTCGATTAGAAGGATAGATGAGAACAGTAAAAGGAAAATAAAATATTTATTTCAATAAGTTTCCCTTTTTTAGCTAAACTGCTTGAAGTCCGGGCAAAAAGGGGTACTCTTTCTATAACTACATTAGTATTAGTCTTGAAAATCTTTAAGCAGGAAATAGCTAGCGTAGAATTTGTTTGATTTAGAACACTTATATCAATAAAATAGTTTGAACTATTTACTAGAAGGGCACACATCCTCTTTTAAAATGCCAAATCGGTGGCCTATGTATAAAAAAAAGAGTTTTTTTTGGATTTGAAGGAAAATAAAAGGAATTCTATCTATTTTTATTTTCCATTTATTTAGTTTGTTTCTCTTAATGAAACTGAAATTATTAACTAACAGATGGAGGGCAGTGGATCAAAGGAGGAGGTGAAGATGGAGGGCAGCGGATCGAAGGAGGAGGCGAAGATGGAGGGCAGCGGATCAGAGATGGAGGGCAGCGGATCAAAGGAGGAGGCGAAGATGGAGGGCAGCGGATCGAAGGAGGAGGCCAAGATAGAGGACATCATCAAATCGATTATGGAAATAGGAAGACTAAGATGGAGATTAGGAGGTTGCTCAAGAAGACCGTCGAGATTTTGAATCAGCCCCCTGTCAAGCCTCAACCGAAGGAGGAGGCAAAGATGGAGGACAGCGAATCGGCTGTCAGAAATAGGAAGACTAAGATGGTGACTAAGAGGTTGGACAAGAAGTCCATTGATATTTTGATGAATCAGCCCCCTCCCAAGCCTGTAATCTACAATACGCTTTACGTGAACCAACACATGATTGATATGATTACTGCCCATGATGAGGTTGATTGTGTGTTCCTTGAGTACTTGCAATGCCATTCCTTCATCAAGGGGTATGCTGAGTACCAGGTGGAGGTCACCGATGACGAAGACGATGACCACAAGTTGGTGTAGCACTGTTGTCACAAGGAAGCTGGTGCTGGCATTTGGGCTTGAATTATGCTGTGCTGATAGACGTGAGTATAAATTTGGTGATCTTCAATCAGAGATGGCAAATATGAATACATTTTGGGAGCTTCCTGAAGCTGTTAATCGGCACAGTGGCTCCTACTCTGTAAGAGAAGTTCATTTGGTTACTACTATTATATTATATAATTTGCAAGTAGGATGCCCATATAGGAAATTCTTTCAGGAACGTTGGATAGCTGGAACTCATGGTAAATAGTCTATGCTTTGTGGATTAGATTTAAAAAAGATTTATATGACTCTCATGTACCATATGAATTTGTAATATGATAATAACATGCTGTTACAAATTCCAAAGAAAACTTCAGGTCTTCTCCATGGCACAGTTCTTTTCGGCTGTCGAAACTAATATAAAGATGTACTCCTAAGTGGAATTGTTGATTTCTCCAAGATTTACATTATGTTACTATTTTAGTATATGATCAGTAGTAGGGATGAAAATGAATCGGATACGGATGGATAACACTAATATTATATTTGTTTTCATATTTATGTCCGAATTCGGATTCGAGTATATGATCAGTACAAAGTAGGTTAGAAAATGGATGCTATTTGGCAGGGATGTTTCAAAAATTTTATTGTGTTCCAAGTAGCATGCCCATATAGGAAATTCTTTCAGGAACCCTGCATAGTTGGAACTCATGGTAAACAGTCCTTTGTGGATTAGATGTAAAACAACATGATTTTGTACAAATTCAAAATAAAATTTCAGGTCTTCTCCATGGCACAGTTCTTTTGAGCTGTCTAAACTAATATAAAGATGTACTGCTAAGTGGGTGTCGGTGTTTCGAACTAGCACCAACGAGTAAATTTATGTTTGCGCGTCAAGGCTCGGATGGTGTGCAAGGTGATACGAGGATGTATACTGGTTCGGGCAGAACGTCCTTACGTCCAGTGGCGAGCAGCGAGCGGCTGCCCGTGCTTGCACTAAGTCTGTAATAGGGGGTTACAAACTGTCGAGAGAGGGAAAGTTCCCTGATCTCTGTGAGCGAGTGTGTATGTGAGAGCGATGGTTCGTGTTCTCCTATCCTAGATGGGAAGCCCTGCCTTCCCTTTTATAGGTCAAGGGAAGGACAGGTTACAAACGTCAAGGAAATGAGGTCAAGGAGGAAAGGAAGAAAGAGAAAAACAAAAGATAGGGTAGTCAATGGCTTCGTCTTCTCTTCCTTCCGGGTCATCCTTGTGGATAGCGCGGTTACTGATGGCGACAGGCGCCACTCCTAGCTCCGGTTGGTCCGTACGGGTTCGGCTGACCGGGGTGAGGCCCTCCATCTCGTTACAGGGGACGAGATGGCCAAAAGCGGCGATGGGACGTCCGCCGTACACGGATTAGGCAACACAGTGCCCTCATGTAGCCACACCCTGGGCCGTCGTGGGAGCCCAGGCTTGATATGTCGCTCCTGGGCTGACGGGCTCTGCCCAGGGGTGGTTGAGGATGACGCGAGCCACTCGTGGCCCATTCGTCCCCGTACGGGGTAGTCAGAAAGGACGTAGGGATTCGGGGCCTTGGCCTTAACTGCTCCGCCCGAGGGCCATTCTGCATAATGTCACGAGGCGGAAACCCGCACAGGAGAGTCGGGCGAGACGGAGCGTGCCTCCGCAAGGTCGGGCAAGACAGAGAGCGCCCCCGTGGGTCGGGCGGTGCGGTGCGCTCCGCCGCGGGGTCGATTGCTGAGGGACCCGTGTCCCTTGGGTTGGTCTCTTCATCCCGCGGGCCAGCCGGGGCGGGCCCACCTTTCGGGGGTCGGGCGAGACGGAAACCTCCTCCAAGGGGTAGGCCAGGGCAGGACCCACGTCCCAGGGGTCGGGACGGGTCGAATGGCCCTGCTTTATTATCGGCTGGATCAGTATTTATGCGGGCTAACTTCTCGTCATCAGTAGTCGTGATATTTATATCCGACAGTGGGATTGTTGATTTCTCCAAGATTTACACTATGTTACTTTCTGGAAGCTATTTGGTAGGGATATTTCAAATTTTTTATTGTGTGATTATTTTCTATGTAAGGACCACTTTTGGGATGCTGGCCCTGAGACCTGAGATGATTTGGTTACTTGCTGGCTTGCCGTTACCCTCCATACCTCGAAATTGCATTTACGCTTTTCTTGACTAATAATTAGATTTGATTTGAAGAGTCATTGAGGAATCTTGGGTTTTCGGATGCTTGTCTAACCACTCTTTCTTCTGAAGGTATGCAAGGAAAATATTTTGGCTATCGCAGCCGGTTAATCGACTTGTACTTGTCGTAATAATATTTCTCGCTCGCTACTAACCTTTGGCTTACAAGATTTCTCTTTTGTCATGTAGATTCAGTCATCCAATGTCCCTGAGATTCTTAGGGAATGTACTAAGAAATACAAGTAACCCTTATGAATATGTTTAGGCATAAATCTATCATAATAATAGACACGTGCGTGCCGCTCGAGCATAGGAACTAGTATATATAATATAATAAAACCTGCTTGTAGGCAGGATCAGGTGTACGGCAAAGTGTAGATACGGACGACAACCAATGGGCTGCCAGCGCCGCCAACCGATCTTCCTCAGCGGCGACCCCGCGTCGGCCCAGACCCCACCGCCGCCGCTCTCCCGTCGAGGAAGGCGTCAAAGAAGAAATGAAACTCCTCACTTGCTCTTCGCTGGTGGGCTTGGAAGCAGCTGCCAAGGCTGGCCACAAAGAAGAAATGAAACTCCTGCTCTGTCTTTTCCACAGAACAGAGGACGAGCATAAGCAAGGGTGGTACAGGTACTCAACTTACCTGGTAGCAAGCAATCAGCGAGCTGGCGAAACCGAACGCGCCCGTGACACGAGGGGTCACCTTCTTCGGGGCCAGCTGCAGGAGCCCCATGGCGACCACGATGTCGATGAGGGCCAGCAGCCGCTCGTTGGACTTCTGCAGCTTCATGCGGTACTGCTCGTTCTGGCACACAGATTACAGTCAATTTCCTTTTTTTAAGAATACACAGATACAGCAAAATGCATCAGAGAGAAGAGACGTGGAGAGCAGTTCCATTTTCATCGAGGTGACAAGGTGTACAATACGTATGTCTTTGGTTCAACAGAAAGTGTACCGTGTAGTCTTTTACAACTCTTGGTGTTTCAGCTCCTTCTCTAGCTTCTTCATTGACGCGGATAACCGTTGGAGCTCAGCTAGCTGCACGGTTTGAGCAAGCATCAGGTGTGGTAACAACATCATGCCGAAAACCGTATAGGTTCACATGATAGAATTGTTTCCAGACGAAGATGGTTACATGCTTATACATGATATAATACACTAGAAGCAGCGACGTACCTCGATAATGGTTGTGCAGGTGTTTGAACCGAGGAAGCAATAAAATGCTATCCTTCCAAGGAACTCCGCTCGCTCCTTGTTCTGTAATGTATAAATAATCGGATTAGTTTCCTGTCTCTTGTTTGTCATCATGTAGTAAGGGCACGTACAACGGGCTTCCAAGTGCCGTCTGTATGATGTAATTTTTGCAAAATACTCCCTCGCGAACTGCATTCAAAGAAGAGAGAGATGCAAGCTGTCGTCTGGTGAAACGACAGCATCGGCTCGTGCTCCCACGCCAAACCGACGCCTTCGCCGCGCGTTGTATGAATCGTCGACTCCGAGCGCCAAATTCTCAGGATTGAGTGCGGTAGATGGTGGGTTACAGATGAGCGAGTCGAGCGGCATCCCTGCACGGCGGAAGCTATCCACGAACTGCCGCATGCTGTCGAGGGAGGCAAGGTCCAGGCACGTGATGGTGTAGCTCTTTCTGATGAGCGACGCCACCTGCAGCTTCTGGTCGCACTGCTGTTCATGGCGAAGTGACTATTGGGAGGCGGTGAGTGGCATGAGCTCGCCGACGGTGACGGTACTTGTACGCAGGCCGAGGAGCCAGGAATCGCTGGCTTCAAGGCCGGTGCGGGGAGCTCGCCGCACTGCTCATCGCCGAAGCAAGGCCGAGCACTGGAATTTTGTCTCACCATGATGGAGGAGACGCTAGAGAGAATACAGAAGAGATAGAAAGAGAAAAAAAAAACGGAGATAAGAACCACACGGTCACGAGTGAGCAGAGGTAGAGGATAGGAAGATATAGAGCAATATGGTATTTTCATGTACTTTTGTTTTTTTTTGTCATTGTTTTTTCTTTACTTTCCATCTATTTTTAATATATTTCTAATTTGTTTATGCTTGATCTTTTGTAGCAATGGTTGTCTTATTTATGCTTAATTTTTTTTTATCAACAAGCAACACAATGGTATACATGAATCATATTTAGGCTTGATCATGACTACATGCAGGCATTAAATAATTAACAGACAGCCTAAATGCACAACCCACTATACATGCTTTCTGCTTAGTCATGTTCAGTATGTAGTACGACGTCATCATATAGACAGGAAGCCGTCTGTGGGGTTGTACATGCCCTAAGTCGTATTGACTTCCATACGTAATTTCTCTAACAGAGTTCTGTATCAACTTTTTCCCCCTTTTGTTTATCTGAACACAAAGGATAGCAACACCCAGTCCTTTTCCCATGCCAAAATAGAAGACACAGGGCAAGACCAAAGCAAATCAAACTTTTTCTTGCATGAAGATGTGAAAGGAAATTCATACCTTGTATATTCCTGTCCTCCCAGCCCACACAATTTGGTCCAGGAAGAGGAAAGTTGACAGCATCGCATTTTTCGACTGGAATATGCATAAACAAAATCAATCAGAAAACTTCAGAGCAAAACCATCCTCAGCTGAACAAGTTCTCATGTAATGCAAACTTCAGCAATCATCATACCTTCCCGAGTAAGATCAGTGGAAGTGGAGTTCCCTTGGCAGGAGGACTAATTAAAGCGTGAAGATCGTTGACAAACTGTAAATAAGGAAAGACTGGGTCATAAATCACACCAAGATGCTAAGCCTTTCAATTTGAAAGCAGTAGTACTAAGCAAACGATTATGCAGTACCTTAAAAGCCGGAAAACTTTCCGAGCTAAACTAGTTGACTTGTCAACATTCTGTGCAGGCCCTGGTTCTCCATTGCTCAGGAACTTTGATCCATACTGTATCGCTCGGCAGATTTTATCCCTTGCCTCAGCCTTGTTTAGGTACAAAATAACCAGGGCAAGATCTCCTCTCACGGTGTCCAGAGAACTCATACTGTATCTTCAGTAACTGCATAAGTGACACCTAGTCAAAACTATGGAGGCGAATGGATGGACGTCACAATGACAGGAGCAGGTATGCAATTGAAGCACACACGGAGAAACTGAAAATTGGTGTGGACACTCAATGGATGAACTATCCTGCATAGTTGATTGGTTATGCATAGATAAATGATTCTACAATCCGTAAGATTAAAAGTAGCTAATAACCTTTGCAATCCGTAAGATTAAAAGTAGCTAATACGGTTGGGAGGAAAAGATCAGTTAGCTCAATTCCATGAGATGTAATTTCGCTTGCGCCACCAAACTTAGCTCGATGCAAGATCCACGCTGCGGCCATCGAGCTGGAGCTGGGCAGCAACAGCCACCTGAGGCACCAACATCAGCAGCGCCGCCACGAGTTGACGGCGTGAGCCCTCCCAAGTCGCATCCATGGTGCGGTAATTCCTTGGAAGGTCGCCGGGTGGCACATCGTCAGTTTTGCCACCATATTCGCAACAGGAAACACAACTTTCGTTCGAATTGCATGTGTTAAGTTTGCCGCTAGCATTCATCCTGAGCCAAATCGAACTCTCCATGAAATTCATAGTTGCATTACTTATAACTTCCTTATTCGTAGACAAAGTAAATTCATAATTGTCTTTCCTTCCGAGGATATATAACTTGTATCCATGCACTTCGCTTAGTCTCCTACTCTATTTTACCATTTCTCTGGTTTAATTTTAGGTCTCAAACATGAAGACAAAAAAGAGTGATACTACATATTTAAGGGTTTTCTTAGAAAGGGCTATTATGAAGAAGAAACGATCACAAATCCAAGGGCCGCTATGAAGAATAACAATCATAAACTGGAGCTAAACAAGAAAGAGTTACTTCATTTACCAAAGAAAGCCATATGCAATTGGTTGTTTTTCATAGCCTCCATATATTTCGGATGTTGCCACTTTGATATGTTGAATTATTGGCACTTATTTATGTTAATTGTTAAACAATTTCAATTTATGCATAAATTCTATGAATTTATGAAATCATGCTCAAATATGTGTTCTATATTTGCTACATATTATAAATTAGAACTGTATGGTGTTATACAAGCCAAATATTAGGCTTTAGGAGTTTAGGTTGTTAACAAAATGAACAACCTATCACGCAGGCTCAAAAATACTAGGTCATAGTTCAATTGGTCAGAATCTTTGTGGTGAAACATGTCCATATAGTTTGAGTCTCAGCATGAATGCTAGTATTTGTGGTTAATTATTTTTTAATGGTAAACAACATACCCAACAACGAGATAACTTTGGTTCTTTCGTTAATTTTAAGATATGTTAGCTTAGCAACTTGGAGGTACTAAGATATGGTTTCTATGTCTTATTCATCGGACGTGTGCAGTTACATACATATAGTTGTTTGCGTTTATACCGTGCTTTAAAAAACAACACGAACTAAGAATGCAACTTTAAAGCCACTTGATTTTCTATTAAACAGTTCCACTTTAATATGTGTGTTTCTAGTTGATCTTGCATAAACTACTTAGTATTTCATATATTATAAGTTCATATGCAAATGAATAAAATGGTATCTGAAATTTCATACTCTCTTCAATGAGAGATTAAAGAGAAAATCGTGTACTACTTCTTAGAATGTCAGTACATCTAGAGTTCACTTTTCAAATAAGTCAAAAAAATACTAGAGATATGGCCCCTGGTATCCAAGATACTCCAGCTGACCAGCGCCAGCCCATGTACACTAAACCAAGGCATCCCTACCAGTTGCGTGTGGGTTTAGCCATTTGGTAGTGTATAAAAAGTTCCATCCTTCGCCTCGAAGCACACGTGATGAGGATGTCGGCCTGTTCCTTTGGCTGTGGCTTGTCGTAAACGATTGTAAATTTTCAACTGGAACAGTATTTTTCTCTCACATAAATCAGCCAAAGATGCTTTTCTTTACTAAACCAACAGAATCTAAACGAACCAAACCAACAATAAAGCTAGTCATTAGGCACTAAAAATCCCAGATTTGCCGATGTTTGGAAGGTCGCTCAAGACCCTTCATTTGGATTTATATCATTTGTACCATATATATAAGACTGACTCTTGTGGTCATCTTCTTCTATAGTTGGTAAATACCATAGTTCTTATTAGTTTTTTAAAAGAAAGTTTCCTTTGAAGGAACTTTAATCGAATCAATATATTTTTTAAATTAATTGAATCAATAGTTAAGTCGGACGCTACAACTCTAAGAGCAAGTATAACAGCAGGCTGAATGCCGAGGACTGAGGTGGAAGAGAGATGAGATGAGAGAGAAGGGAAGAGGGCTGTAAGTTTATAGCCAGCTTAGACACAAGAACCGAAAAACTTGTGAAAGAGACAAGTGGGCCATGTATTAATGGTGAAGAGCTAACTACTAGGCCACGTTCGGTTTGCTGAATCTTAATTGAAAAATACTATTTTGCTGAATTATTGTGAGAGAAAACACTGTTCAATTTGAAAAAACAAGCCGAATCTAGGATAAGCCAACCGGGCCTATATATGCGGGTGAGAGGCGATCAGAAGATCCTTACAGCCCAAAGAATTGGCTATATTAGCCTTGCTATGAGAGTTTGTTTCAATTCACATAAATTCGTTATGTGGACTGGAGTAGACTAGGGGGATTAAGGACACCTTAGTTGATCTCCGTTTCCAGGTCACATGTGTCAGGTGAGAACGCATTTATCCAAATTAGTTGATTAATATGTCAATTCATTGGTGTGTCTCTGTATATCACCTCTCATCGTGTATAACCTCGGAGATAAAGGATTTTCTAAGCTATGCAACACGTGTGCCTTGGCTCCCCTTGAAGTACTCACGCACTTGAACTTTTTTCTTTACTTAGAGCATCACCCTCTGGTCCTTCTGGACTCTGGGTATCAATTATCCTCTTTTTCTTCGAGCAGCCACAACGAGAGAAAAAATCGATGCTCGGAAAGGAGAGAGAAGGTTGAAGCATCGTCTTTCATGTTGCAGTGTGCTGTGTTTATATAAAAAAAATACCGACATCAATGCTTATTCAGTCGTCATTGGTGCTCGGTTGTTAAAAAGTATTTCATCTCTCTTGTGCTTGCACCTATGTGTTAGGCGTGGGGAGTGCCACTGCGGGTGACTTCCAACTTTGGCGAGATGAAATCTATCGAATTGTGAAATTAGGGAAGGGGGGGGTGTACGGTGTTAGAGGGTTAGGGTCGATGAATTGGGGACTTAGAGGAAAACCGGTGGAGACGGTTGGTGTGTGGGACAACATTAGCGAGGAGCATTGGGCGGGGCGGTGGTGGATGACTAAGCTAGTGGATGGGTTGGGTTACAGGAGAACTCCATCCAAATAGGTTAGTGAGGCAATGAGGAACAATGGTGTCTCGGCACTTAGCGGTTGGGTTGGAGTTGCCATGTAGATGGGAGAGAAAGAGCAGGGTTGAGACACGAAGATCCCAACTCAGGCGCCATGGTTATGGCCGGAGAAAGAAGAAGGTGAAAGTATAGAAGAAGGCCTTAGATGAAATATTTTGGCAATGATCTAATAATGGCTCATCAAGAAACAAAGGTGGAGCAAAATTTACAGCGACATCTACACGTCTCCGGCTTCACTACCACGGTGAAAATTGAAGACCAGTATTAAACCATCACGAAATTACAAATACATTATGCCATATGTATATTAGATTGCAGATTTCAGAAATGATCAGCTCCCCCTCCTTCACCAGTAACCAGTAGTCCAGACCCCACGTCTCAGAACAGCAGGTTGAAAGAATGTATCGATCAGTGCTAGTTGTTACACGTACATATACATACATATATATACATATATTTATACACGTACTCACCACGTACTCTTTTCAATTTGTGTGTTTTAGTGAATCGAATCGAATCGAATTTTCACCGTGCAATACATGCATCGATGCGACGACGTGCACGAGAGATCGAGAACAACTACGTACGACTGTTCAGTTGAGTTGAGTCAGTCAGATTGCCATGCCACGTACAATGTGTTTGTGTGTGTGTCGGTTTGACGTACGATCGGCGATCGATCACCTCCCCTTCATGTCGGCGAGCTGCTGGAAGAGCTCCCCGGCGGCGGTGGTGGACGCGTCGGGCACGCCGCCGCCCGAGGCGCTGGCCGCGGGGACGACGGCGCCTCCGCCGCCGCCCGAGGCCGCGGCGCCGTCCTCCCCGTCCTGCTGCGCGCCCTCGGGCGGGTTGGCGTCCTGCAGCTGCAGCGCGTACTCGAGGTTCCACAGCACGTCGCCCATGGAGATGCGGTCGCTGCCGAACTCGGCGAGGCACTTCTCGGCGGTCTCGGCGAACTTGGCGAGCGACTCCGGGTTGACGGTGCCGGCGAGCTTGGGGTCCATGATCTTCTCGATGAGGCCCTTGCGCTTCCACTGCATGCCCCACTCCGCCAGGCTGACCTGCTCCCGGGCAGCTGCGGGTCGATGGGCGGCCGCGCGCACAGCGCCTCCAGCAGCACCACGCCGAAGGAGTAGACGTCCGACTTGTCCGTCAGCTGCTGGCACTGGAAGTACTCCGGGTCCAGGTACCCGAAGCTGCCCTTCACGGCGGTGCTGACGTGGAGCTGGTTCATGCCGGGCCCGTCCTTGATTAGCCCCGAAGTCCGACACCTTGGCCACGAAGTTGTCGTCCAGCAGGATGTTGGTGGTCTTGACGTCGCGGTGGATGATCCCCTGCGCCGTGCCCGTGTGCAGGTAGTGCAGGCCCTGGCGGCGCCGATGCAGATCTCCAGCCGCTGCTTCCACGGCAGCGGCGTCACCCTTCGTTGCCGTAGATGTGGTCCCGGAACACGCCGTTGTGCATGTACTCGTACACCAGGATCATCTCCTGGTTCTCGTCGCAGTAGCCGATGAGGGACACCAGGTGGCGGTGCCGCAGCTTGGACAGCATCTGGATCTCCGTGTTGAACTCGTTGATGCCCTGCTCCGACTCGGCGCTCCCGCGCTTCACCGCCACCTTGGTGCCGTCGTCGATCTCGCCGACGTACACGTTGCCGAACCCGCCCACGCCGATGATGTTCTTCTCGTCCCAGTTCCCGGTGGCGGCCTGGATCTCGGCGAACGAGAAGAACCGCCCCAGGCCCATGGTGGAGGAGAAGGTGTTGCCGCTCTTGTGGGACCCGTACCCGCCCTTGCCGCTGGCGGTGAAGGACTGGCCCGTGTGGATGGGGAGCAGCCACGACGAGAAGCTCTCCCGCCGCTCCCAGTCCTGCGGCCGCTTGTACCACTTCACCACCATGGCGCCCAGCCCCGCAAACGCGCCGAACATCATGGCGAACCCGACGGCCGCCACTGCCTTGCGCCCGCCGCTCCCGTCGTCGGCCTTCCGCCCGTCCACGCCGAACTCGCCGTCCAGGCTGCCCACGGAGTTGCTCATCTTGAGCACCTCCATGCCGT